AAAAAAAAAGAGTGAACATCCACCTTTTCACGAATTAATGACAATCTATCAAATTCATTGACAACCATTTCGGCGGCCTTCGAAGCTTCACTTTGCTGCGAAGAAGAGATAGCAACTCGAAACAACTTTTCGCCCGCTGATACATCACCAATCCTGGAAGCAGATACCTAAACCCTCAGTATTCGGTAGAGCCACTAACGTAAAACGCGTGGTGTGTGTTCATTTCCTGGACTACGTTCTGCTATGACCAACATACCCTTCAACTTTTCCAGAACCATCTAGTAGGGAGAGCTATCTTTGTTAAAAGAAAAGCTTATTTGAATGTACATAGCATAGCTTTGGCAAATGGTTCAATGAGTTGAAGGCGCATTTGAACGGGCCTCAGAGAGAAACTTTTCCTAAGGTGGGTGATTACACAGTACCAGATTAATGCGAGGGAGCAAAAGCCATCGTCACCGCATATATTAGTTGAACCGAATTGTTCGGTGAAGGCTAGCCATACCTGTGAAAAATTCCTACTCGTTTCACGCCGGGGTACGCATCCCGTATTCCTCGGCAAAGCTTTTGCAATTCCTAAAAGTTAGCAACGATTTCCATAGAAATAAAGAATAAATAAAATAACAAACTATATAACCTTATATGCGAATTCGTCATCAATGTCGTACTCTATCTGTAAAACACTCCTGCCATCCAATGTGTCCGGAGTAGTTCTAACGAACACTGAGGGACTTTCGCAAGACCCGCTGAAAATTTCGAGGTAAATTCATTACGAGAAAGGCAGGCCTACATTTCACTGAAAGCGTCCGTTGACAGGCTAGGTGTAGATATACGCATATTAGAAATAAAGGAGATTTGTAGTCTGCGTAAGAGGACGCGCTCTAGAAACACAGCATTTATCAAATTCATAAATCAAATTCATATAGCAGTAGCCTCTTGGCCTTTAGAAATAGCCTTCGACGAAAAATGCGAGGGATTTTCGGGCCAGCAGGCTGCGCAAGGAACGGTAGTTTCTCGTGTTGGCTGCTATCCCTCAATTTGCAGAAAACCTGCGGGTATCGCCTTATCTGCCAGCAAAGGGCCTTCATCACTAAGTATATAAGGGTACATTTTTGTACATAAGCCATTATATACACTGCTCAGAGAACAAAAGAGAAACAAAAACAGTACCTTGTGAAAAGTCGCACAGACTCTTCAAGTTCCGAAGCATCGTAGCAAAAGTGCACAGCATCGTCAAGGAAAGACTGGATCAACTAAAACAAGCTCAATCAATCTTGGTCTTCTTTCACTCTTGAGGATGTACCAACGAGTGCTCATAAAAGTGGACAGCAGCCCTATGTGCACGAAATTGGCTTCCATCTAAGACTTAACCATCGGTCACAACATGATATAGTTCAGCCTGCACTGACAATAAAAGAAGATTTTTGAAAGAATACTTGCCGAATTCATAAATTTCAAATCAGGGCGCTCCGATGTAGTGCTGGCATCTAGAAATGAGATCCGGCAATTCCTTCTGGCGGAATACAGAGCATTCGATAAATGTTGCCGATACGCTGGCCATACGACTTTCTCAAAGTAGCCAGGCATGTCTGGAGGATCATAAGTACGTTTAATACGTCGATTGTGACAAGTTTCCTATAAAAAAGTCGTATAAGGGTAGAAAAAAACGAAAGAATCAAATTTTCACCTTATCCAGCATGAGGAACATTATACGATCACATAGCGCTATGAACTGG